CCCATATGACATAGTGGATCAGTCTCTCAGACTTAACTTTCCGAATAAAATGTGGTTGACGAGGTAAGCCAAAGGTGGTGCATGAACAGACTTAGCTTATTCAGGAGGAAGTGGGGAAATTTAGAAAAAGATGGTTGACCCATGTAATGATCAATCTCTCAGCGGATGATCACTGATAAATCCAATGACGGGTCACCCCCACTTGCAGCCTGTGAAAGAGTGCTTGTAGGAAGTATGATACTTGAAGGGTAACATGAAACTCAGAATTTATTTCAGAAATATGAATCAAACAAAAATGTTTTTTAGAGAAATGCAAATGTGAGAGAAAATATAATATAAACTGGGAAATTAAGTTAAAGTAAAAGGGAACTTCAATTTAATGAAGAAATCCTACTTCGGTATTGAAATTACACGTATTAAATTTACGAGTGCAAAGCACACAAAAAGCACGAAAAGCAAAATACGTCTGAACACAAATACTGCCAAACTAGAAGTGATAGATAGTCACATGTGTAATTAGAGTATGTCACACTTTTTTGTTTGAGGGTTGTCCCATGATGATTTGCATAAGAGACACATTGGAATTAATCAATTCCAATAGAGGCTTGAAAAAAAGCTTGTGGCATGCGTAAAAAAAATGTTTCCATATAGAGGGCAGCACTGAAAGAGAAAGCTATTTATGTGAGAAGAGGTAATGTACAATATCGGAAACAGCAATTTTGGGGTCACTAAACACACATATACATATATATCATATTTTGCTAATTGTGATGTCTATCTGAGCGTTCATCTGTCTCTTGTTTCAAATGCTGTGCACGCAGTAAAAGCTCAACATTCACTTTTGAAATGACGGAAAAACAGGCATGAATAATGTTGATGACAAATTTTATTTCACAAACAGAATGTTCTACACTAAATTGTTAGGAATTAATCATACTATCATTGACATTTCAAAATGTAACGTAATGGATTGAATCAGAAGTGATTTCTTATCTTTTCTGTCGAGAAAATTCTTACAAGTTTCTAAAAATTCGATTGTATAAGGTGTCCCATTGATTGTGCCGTGTTCTTTTAAGTAATGTTCAGCGGTAGCTTTTTTGTTGTCAAGATTTCCAGTGGCACGAATGTGTTCTTTGAAACGCACATGTATTGAACGATTGAATTCACTTATATATGTGGCCGAACACTGTGTACATGTAAGTTCATAGACAATGTTTTTAAGTATGCAGGACTTCTCTAAGCCATTTGTCTTTGCAAAACAATTTTTTGGATTTACATGTATTGTCGTTATTAAAGGCTGGACGAGTGAGTATATCCTTCAGTTTTCTACCAGGTTTTTGTATGATTTTGATATTTAAATCAGATCTTCTAATCGTTTGACGAAGGCGAGTAGTTAAAGGTTCATCCACAAAGAGCATAATCCATGAAACAGTGTCTTGATGTGGTAATTTTTTTATGTCGTTTGTTAATATCTTATGAGTCAAAACTGTGAAATGTCTTAGTAATGTAAGTATACTGGTAGCCATTGGACAACAGTAGCTTTTGAAGTTTGATCCTGGCTTGCATCTTACCGTCCATAGTGTTGCAGATTTTCTCAATTCTATTAAGTTGACCGATAATGACACCTCGTTTGGTAGCTGGTGGATGATGTGAGTTGTAATGTAGAATAATAGGTTTAACATATGTTTTATAATATGTGAAAGTAACAAGTTTGCTGTTAACGATAGTAACCATGGTATCAAGAAAGGGTATAGATTTCTGGACATTATCGGTATGAGTAAGGGTGAGCAGTATGTCAGAGTGTTGATTATTAAGGAATTCAACCAATTCCAGAAAAAAAGAGAGTCCATGATTCCATATACCGAAAATATCGTCAATATATCTGTAC